AAGAGAGAGGACCTGGCAGAAAATGTCTCAGGCGCTGAGACGGGTAGTGAACCGGGCACTATGGGGTCATTTCCTTGTGAGGGCCAGCAGCAAGGGCAGAAATGGCAGAAAAGTTCTTTTTAGTGACAGCATGAGCTGAAGCCGTGCCATTGACAGGCCAGTGCTTGACTCCTCTATTTAACCCTTAAATGCCTACTTATTTTTCGCTCTTCTACCTTGTCAATTTTTTTTCCAGACAAACGACAATCAAAATACAACAACACATTAAGGCTGCAACTCTCCTATGGCCACCAACACCAAAGATGTCTGTGGCTCAAAACAACAGAAGCCCCCATTGATTCCTGTACTGTACTGCAATCTGTCGATGACTGAGCATCATATGAACATTTTATAGTATTATAGACCATTCCCTCCCCGCCCCCTTATCAACATAGCAGATTCTGCTGACTAATTTTTGAAGTCTTACAAAATATACTTTATTTCTGTCAACAAATGTAGTCAAATAAAATGTTTTCACAAATACACCACCCATTTGCAGATCAGTGTGTTAGATATAAGTTCACACAACATATAATTACTATCTAAACAAAACCTCAGATCTCCAAAAAGTTGACTTTAAAGGTGAAGAAGAATGTTCTAAACTTTTAAAGAAAATTAATGGAAAAATGATTAATTCCAAGTAATTTTGATTTCTTTTGATCTACTCATCATAGAAGTTTGATATAATGTAAAGGGCTGCTGGCAAATTATGTAACATAAAAAAAAAACAAAATTGGGGATACATGGTTTTGTCCAAGGTGTATCCTGCCTGCCGCCCAATGACAGCTGGGATAGACTCTAACACCCTCCCATGACCCAGAAGGATAAGCTGTTTAGAAAGTGTGTGTGTGTGTTTGTGTGTTTGTGTGTGTGTGTGGGTGTGTGTGTGTGTGTGTGCGCGTGTGCATGTAGTTGTCCCAAATGCAACAATATATGTAACAGAAAGTTATACAAAAGCCTCAACAACTAAATGTAATATACAATTTCACTATTTATTCTGTCTACCAATTGCCCTCATTACAGCTTCCATTCAACTTCAGGAGGCTTGCTTTCAAAAATCTGCAGGGATGTTTTTCCACACCTCCAAAGTTCAGTCTTAGGCTACTTTTACACAGCAGGTAAAAGTGGCCCAAATCCGATCTTTTTCCTCAAATGTGACACAGATGTGTCATCTGTGTGAACAGCAAAAAACGCATTGAATCTGACATTTTCAATTCCGATTTGAGACGCCTTCATATGTGATACTGAAATCCGATACGTATCTGATCTGCGGCAATGTGACTCTGTCTGAACAGCCAGATCGGAATTCATGCGGCTTTTACGTCAGTACAACTCGACATTCGTCATAATTTCGCGCTGCTGAGACTCATAAACCTTTAGTCTGATGTTTCTGTACTAAAACATTAGAAGAGACTCATCAAACCGCTCCGTGTTTGAAGAGGTTTCGAACGAAACGGCCGAGCGCGGCCGGAGGAGCCCGAGGCTGCAGCGTCAGAGAACAGTTTAAAACATCCGAGGACACGAACCAAAGAAGTGGCCGTGGCCGAATAACGAGAACTTTTACAGCAAACTCAAACACATTCTGGGTCAACCACTGGAACTTTATACTCGCTCCTGTGATGCTGGCGAAGACGAAACTGAAAGCTCCGGGGGCCACGTGAGACACTGTTCTTTTGCGCATGCGGGTCGGTTTAGGAGCTGATCTGTTCAGACTGATGTCGCATACAGATCACATTTAAAAGATAATGTGAACAGCCAAACAAAAAAATCGGATTTGGTGAGAAAATCAGATTTGGGCCACTTTTACCTGCTGTGTAAACGTAGCCTTAGAAGCTAGTTGCATTTTCTGGTTCTCATAATCCATGTGATCCTAGACACATTCATTGATACTGAGGTCTGGACACTGAGGTGGTCAGTGTTTTGTTCTGAGAACACCAGCAGCTTCTTTGTTGGATTTCGCAGATGTTCTTTTTTTTTGTCTATTTCCTTTTCTCAGTGAGGCTTCTTGACAGCTACACATCCTTTCAGACTCATGGTGTTGTCTTCTCACAGTGGAAGGATGGACAAACACCTGCAGATTTTTTCAGATCTGAAGCAAGAGTGCAGCTTGATTTTCTCTTGAGTTTTGAGTAGGATAGCCTACTTTTAAACGCTCATCTTAAAGTGCTTCAACTAAAAATGCAATTTAAAGCTTAGTAGTATTGTAAGAAAAAAATATTGGGTCAGCATCAGGACTCAATGTCGGTACTGGAAAATAATGTGGTATCATGCCAAATCTAGTTTACACATACAAAAAACATCACAGGCTCATATCAACAATCACAAGTAGCTGCTAAATCATGTGGCCATTGTCTCTGGCTGCTGCCCAAGCCCCTCTATCAGCACCTAGCAGTGAAAGGAGCAAGTACTTGTGCAGAGCTTTCACAGAGCAGTGCTCTTGCCAAGCAAACCATATATCAGGTTTCTATACTCCAGAGTGCTGGCTAACCCTGTGTCCTCCAGGCTGCTGCTGGGACTGCCCTCTCCACTGAAGCTAAGGGCAGCCAGAATAGGCTCTCCATCACAGAACAGGACATGCAGGGCCAGCTCCAGATCAGCCGTCACTCCACATTTATCAGCTCTGGAGCTCTGTCCCTGTCTGAAGAGCACTCGAACAAAAACACACTCCCACATAATGCCCAAAAAACAGCTTTGAACTGACGTGCCCTCTAACTGAAAAAAACAGGCTTATACTCACACCCTCTCGCTTTCTCTCTCTAAGAACATTCTGTTAACTTTCCATATCTGACTCGAAAGAGAACCCAAACTTTCCAAGGTTAGTGAGATACTATATGGGACAAACAGTCTTCACTTTACTAGCTTGTGTGGAAAAAAAAACCTCCCCCAAATAAAAACAATTTTCTGAATTCAAATTTGTTGTGCAAACATTTAGATAAAGTGACTGTGAAATGCTGCCTGAGCTTGACCCAATGACAGCACGCATCTCTTTTGAAGAGTCCTCTGTAGGTTTTGGACAGTTACAGACTCTATCAATACTCGTATATAGTTGTATGCAAAGGTTTTGGCACCACTGGTTGAATTACATGTTCTGTTGATTCTCTAAGTGAAAACGAGTTACATGTCCTCTACAGAGAACACACTTCTGTACGTTTTAATGTACAGAATATATATACATATATACACATATATATACACACACACACACACACACACACACACACACACATATATATATATATATATATATATATATATATATATATATATATATATACATACATATACACACACACATACACACATACATACACACACACATATACATATATATATATAGACCACTAACTTTTGCATATGATTGTACATAAGAAACATATGTTTCAAGAATTCTGGCTACATTTTTTAATTTTGTTCACAAGTGTCAGTGGTTTGGTGGCCCGGGTGGCCAGTCCAGTTTTTTTTAATCTGTCTCTGTCCTTGATAGTATAGTAAATATGAAGTGTCGTGTGACATGTGCTCATAAGAGGAAGAAATAGAACGTAGGGATCAGTCTCTCCTCTGCAATGTCTACTGAAAGCTTAGTGCTGCTGAAACATTTGACAGAATAATTTTGCTGGTGTCTTTGAAGGCGTTGGCAGTCTACATACTCATGGAAGAGGAATGTGGCACCTTTAGTGATACTGCCATGCTAAGCAGGGTGTGTTTTGCACTGGCTATACTCAGAGTAAATCAGTGTTCATCAGCACAACCCAGCCTGTCATCACAGATCCGTACTGAGTATTCTCCTTCATGTGGAAGTTGGTCTGTTTTTTAAAAGCAGTGCTGTAATGCTATGGCTGCTGGCTATTTTGCATGTTTAATTATTTACATTCTTCTGATCCATAAAATAAAACCTTATGTTTTTCCTTCTTTTGTAACTGAAACAAGAACATGATGAGAAAGATGGGACGATGACTAGTTAGTCAATGTCCTGCTAGTACAATCATAAGTTAAAATGCTTAGCTAATAGTTTGTGTGGTTCATGCTTTCAAGCATGAACCACACAAACAAATATATCAAAGTCCTTCATCAGCTAACTGAGTTTCAATTGTTACCTCTTGCAAAGTAACAGAAAACTTATCAATGCAGATTATGATTAGGGATGGATATGTTAATCATTTTGCTCTTCAAAAAGTCACACTTTTAAATGAATACTATTGAAAATAGCCCACAGAGAAAATATTTTATATTGTTATATATAAAAAGTGGGAGTGTTTCTTGCATAGTTAGCATAATGCATTTGAAATCACACAACTTCACAAATAGGTCATCTTTGTGTATTTGTGTATTTCTACAAATAGCTTTCCGTAGATTTTTCAATTTTACACACTATTAAAGAGCGTCCAGAGTTTTGACTGAGATTACGGTGAAAAATGCAGTTTTACATAACACCATCAAAAAATATTCTTTAAAGTGTACACGATAAACGAGGCTTACAAATGGCATGACTGAGTAAGGAACTTCATTTCAACTTTTTATCCCAAACTATATTTGTAGTAGGAAAGAAAAAAAAAGAAAGAACAAAAGAAAGAAAGAAGAGAAAGAAAAGAAGAAAAGGAAAAAAAAGCAAAAAAGTGAGAGAAAAAGAAAGAAGAGATGGAGAGTGCAGAAGGGGAAAAGAAGAAGAAATTAAAGAAAGAAAAGAGAAGAAACAAAGAAAGAGGGAGCAAGAAAGAAGAATAAAAGAAAGAAGACAGTGAGAAAGAGAGACAGAGAGAGAGAGGAGGCAGAAAGAAAGAAAGAAAGAAAGAAAAAACAAACAAGAGAGGAAGGAAAAAAGAAATAGAAAAAGCGACAGTGTGAGGCAAAAAGAAAGAAAAGATGGAGCAAGAGAAAAGAAAGAAGACAGTGAGAGAGAGAGAGAGAGAGAGAGAGAGAGAGAGAGAGAGAGAGAGAGCGCCAGAGAGAAGAGACTGACTGACCTCTTCAGATTGAGTAGAGCCCAGGGGATGCCGGTGGGGGTCTTGAATGCAGGCAGCAGCTTCTCTCCCAGCTCTATAGCTTTCCTTCTGAACACCTGGGAGCAAGAGAGAGGGAGAAGTGCAAGAGAAAGAGAGAAAGAAAGAGAAAGAAAGAGAGAGAGAAAAAGAGAGAGACTCATCAGTCTTCCAGTAAAGCTGCTGTCAAGTGCTGTCAGGTCCCTCTTCCCCGCTGACACTGCAGCACTACAGCAAGCAGCACACGGTTCTGCTACCTGCCCTAAACCCTCCACACGCCTCTGTTCTCATTCTGTTACTCTTGGGTGGCTTCAGTCCAGCACACAGACGGACAGACGGACACAGAGGCTGCGGATGCGTGTGGAGACTAGGATCCTGCAGCAGGCAGATAAGAACAGATCAGATAAAGCTCTGAGAGGGCCTCGGCCTGCTCTTAACCTGCTGTCTGCCCATCATATCCTCTCACAGCCTCTCTTTCATCCAGCCCCTGTTCCCTCCTCATGAATGGGGATGACCTGATTCAGGGTTGTTGATTTTTGTTTTTGGCGCCCGATCCCAATCGAGGTTCTGCAGATACTGAGTGCTCTCCAATTCTATTTTCACAGATAAGTACATTAAAGTTAGTAAAGCCAATCCAACTTAGATAGTATACAAAGTCGCAGCTGATGGAACAAAACCCTGTATCTGTATATATAATTCTGCTGTTGTTATTAATTTATTTATTTTACATCATTTGAGCTGCACTTTACATTTAGCATTAATGATCAACTGACCAACAGAAATGGTGCAAAACTCTTTGGAATAAAAATCTAATATTAACTTCCAATAAAACTCATTTTTTTCCATTTTTCATTTATCATTTTGGAAATGCAAGCTTTTGTTCTGACACTGACTATAGGCTATGCTAAGCTACGCTATGCAAATACTTAGACGACCTAAAATTAGGGCTGGGACACGTATATTTTTTAAATGACCTATTTGGTCACTGTAGTTTTGTAGACTTTCAAGTTTCTAACATGAGTGAGGAACTCCATTCTCTCGGTTTTCAAAGCACAGTTACCGCCAAGCGTGACAGGTGGCTAGCTTAAAGGGCCTGTGTTCTATCTTTTTTATTGTTTCTCTTATGATCGTATCGTTTCTTTAATGATGTTTTTCTGCTGGACAGTACAGCACGGGTATGGTCAAGTACTGGTGTTTTTTTTCCATTGCATAACAGAAGCATGAAAGGAGTTCCCTTTAACTTGGGTGGTCACATGCTTTCTCAAGCAAGTCTAGCATTAACAGTACAAACAAACAACAGTAGCAACAATGGAGGAGGTTCAAACTCTGACTTTCCTTTTACTCTGAGTTTGGTTTTATAGAAGGGTCACAGACTCTGGCTAATCATTATCGTTAGTATTATTATTTTTTTTTACAATGGTCATTACCTCCTGTGACAGTGTATGACAACTCTGTTGTCACACTTACTCAGGTGTAGTACAGCTCACTTGGAAGTGGAAATGACTACAAAATCTGGTGAAAAGAAAATATGGTCACTGTATGACTCCTTATGATGCATCAGAAACAGTGTGTAATCGATATTAAATCATTTCCTAGAATTAAACAGGCCATTTTTGTTATTGTGCCTTTAAATGCTGCAGCTGTAGGCAGAATAGGCAGATAAATGTAAATGTGTTGGTCTTTGTGACACAAAATATTTCTAAACAAGTTTTTATTACAGCTTAGTTTCCATAAATGGACTGTATGGACTGGGGAGTTCATGGTATGTTTTGAAACTTCAGCAGTGGGAACTACTGTACCATACCTGAGTATCTGTACTGAATTTGGTTAATGGGTGAAGCTACATTTTTAAGTGAGGCAAATTTGGTTTTTTTTCCATGCTACAGGCTCTTCAACTGCAGCTGAAACACTGCAGATACTGGAATTGACTTTTTTTCTATTTTCCACCCTAAAGCTTTTCCAAAACAGCAGACATTTAAACCATTTGGTATCTTATGAAAATGTACCTCATTACTGCAGCACTGGCACTAAAAACTGATCTTTCGGTCCGACCCTTCACATTCTGCCTGAGATCATATCAACAGCTGAACAGCGGCGGGGTTGAGACAGTTACTGTCAGTGCGGGACGAGGTTCTGCTCGTGACAATCATTTCCTAACATGCTGCCAAAGCCAGACAAAAGTGACATAACAGAGACAGAAATAGTCAAGGTAAGATTTCATCATCGCCCAGATGAACCCAAAACGTTTGCAAGCACTGAGACGGCTCTCACTCCGTGAAAATGCTGTAGACTTCTTCAGTACCCTGAAGATCAGCCTCTTCAGACGCAACAACAGGCTTCTTAGGTCCTTCACTCGGCCAATCATTTTAGAGCAGCACCAATCAGGTTTGTCAGGAGAGCGGCTATGGAGGCTCCACAAAGCTGCATGCAAATTGCGCTCAAGAGAACCAGGATTTGCCTCACATAATCCAATCCAAACGTGTCAGAAATGGAGCTCACGAAGGGTCCCTTCAGCACCACATCAGAATAGCGAGAGAGACTTACGAAATCTGAAGGCAGGAGAGGACAGAAGCCTGCTGTTCGACAGCTTGCTGAAATTTAGAGGCACAGTAAAAGAGCTGGGGGACTAACTGGTTGGAGATGGAGAGCAGAGACGTGGTGGCGGTTCTTCATAAGCGCATTAAGCAGTAAATGTTCATGAAGAGGCACCAGAGCAGCCAAGTTTTCACCTCACTGAATTACTGACTCTATTCACACTGGAGCTCATCTTTTCTTTGGAGTGTCCCGCTGAGCTACATCACAGTCTGGTGTTTAAAGACATCTCGGACACGTACAGATGGAGCTCGAGCTTGTCCTTGGCGCATCAACACGAGGTCATCTGTTAACCCATGGCACTAAATTCAGAGTAGTATTCCCAGCCTGGCTCAGTCTCCACTCTGGAGTTAAACTAGGCCACTGTTCTGCTCCTCCAGACGCCATCGGTGAGCGCCTGCTGCCTTCAGACACTGCAGCGGTGCTGCTACTGATGACCATGTCCACCTTAAAAAAGCCACCCGTGCTCATGAACTACCATTAGGCCTGTGCCCTGAGGCAATGTAATCTAATATCGACGAGGACTGACAAGTAAGAGGATGATGCTTCCAAGGGCACTAAAAACCAGTGGTTGAATTTGCCTGATTCAAATATGTACAAACTGTTACATCAACTTAAGTATGTTAAGTACGTTACACATTTAATTATTTAATTTAATCAATTATGTTGATGTAATATTTTCAAATGGAGCCAATGCACACATCGGAATCAAGTACATTTAAAAATCAACCTTTAAGCTATTTTTTTTTTCAGTGTAGGGCTGAAACAATTATCCACATTACCGATAATATCGACCATACACAAATAGTCAGATATTTCCGTTGTCATTTTTTGTTTACATTTTTAAAGTGACGTCCAACCTAGAATTAATTAATGACATAATCTGAAGAGGACAGCCATTTACTTAGTGTCATACCTATGTGAGTAGATAAATGTAGATAACTAAGACAAAGTAGTCACAATATGTCACTGTTGTTGGAACAAAACCTCATATCTCCAAAATGGTAACTTTACAGGAGAAGGAAAAAACCTACTGTACTTTTAATGTAAGTCAATGGAGCCAGACTTTTTTCCAAGTAATCTTGGGCCGTTTCTTTTGTTCCATTCATCATGAAATGTAAAGGGCAACAGGCATTTTCAAATTATGTCAAAAACTGAAAAATGACAAAAATGGAGATACAAGATTTTGTTCCGACAGCAGCGATATGCAAGTGTGACTTTCCACAGAATCTTTTCCTTCAACTGCTGGAAAAGAAAATGCTGAAGCTTCGTAGGAGACACCAGAACATAACTGGTGCACCATTTAAGGTGGAAAGGAAAATCTGAATAAGGAGCTGGCGAGAAGGAAGATAACTTCAGCCACATAGTAGCTTCACATTACAACTCCTTCCCGCATGCTTGCACTGTAAGTGATGGGTAAGAATGAGCTAACGTTACTCTTACAAACATCACTAAAGCTCATGTCACATTACTATCATCAGTCACTGGAGTATTCTAAGCTGTATCAGTTTCTGTCTATTGGCAATATTTAGCAGCTACTAAAAATAGTGGACATTCAGCAGCTAATCCTGTCACAGTGTTACAGACATTAGCTAGCTAATCACATAAAACTGACTAGCTTAAAAAGACTACTAATTTGTAAGCATAGCTTTCACATGGGGAAAAAAGGCCATCTGCTCATCCTGGAAACCGATTCACACTGAGCTCATCTAGTGAAGTAGCATGTTAAAATGACAAACCGGTTAAATAATGCTGCAGCCTGAAGAGCTATAATGTTAATTTACATAATTATTATTACATAACATATTTTAGCTATTGTTTATTACTTACAGTAGCTCAGAATTCTAAGCTTAGCTGAAAGCGCCAGGTTTTTTCGGTGGTGGTAATGTCACATTTGTGTGCGTCATTTGAAAAAAAGAAACAACCATGAACCCACACCAACAGGATCTCATGCGTGCATGTGTTTGCAGTCAGAACTGTCAGAAGGAGAGGTGATGTGATGTTTCATTAAAGTTTCCTTTAAATCAAACACTACTAAAAAGAAGCTAAAGACAGCACAGAAAGTAGGTCTAAGCTGCAGCAGACCGTGTGTGTTTACAAGCTGTGGGGGGAGGGGATGTAATATTGATTTTTTTAAAAGAAAATATCGTGCTCATTATTTTTAGACATCGCCCAGGCCTAGCCGACATCCCATATTACACCAGCAGCGCATTAATTTTTCAAGATTATGAGGAGCTGGTCTGGATCTCTCTGATTAATGTCTATAATAAAGCCTCAATGCCTCTGAGTAAACTCTGCCTCTGAATGAATAAACTCGGCTCTCACCAAAGCCATCATCCAAACTGCCAACAGTGATTGGGAAGCTCATAAGATCATGCAGCGCTGATGACAAAGTAGAGAACAGAAAGCAGAGAGGTGTCAAAAATACCCCAATAATTGGAACATATGATTGAGCGCATTCCCTATTGAGGTTAACCATGTTATAAGT